CTCTATTCATATCTTTCTGAGACACCCTGAGTTCATGGAAGTATCTCCATCAGTCAGCTCTCCAGCTAGGGCAGTTCTGTGGTCCCCAGGCCCTTAAGCATACAGAGGAAGTTCAGACCAGTGACAAACTGGATGTGCCTCAGGGTCACGACCACAGAAGAATTTTAGGTGACTTTAAGGTCAGTGTCTAAGGGGGTGAGGAAGTCACATGTCTTCAGGACCAAGTGGGGACTAAGAAGGGACATTTAAAGTCAGGGTTCAACTTAATCATGTCATTTCTACGCCAGGTGCCTGTTTCCCTTTTATTACATCGGGATTTGAGGCACCGAATCTCTGAATGCTGAATGAAGAAATGTATTATTAGTGCTGCTGAATGTTGCCTTTGCTGAAATCTCACACGTAATAGTTCCAGAAGGCTTTAAAATCATTGCTAAAGCTTCACTGTCGTTTCCATTGCCAGGAAGCTCCAATGACTTAGTTTGGTAAATCTACTCGTAGTTTATCTAGAAAGAGGACCTGTAGAACAGCAGAAATTTAGGATTTTGATTAATATAGCAAATGTAATTCTGCCATGTGAATTTAAATTATATAAAAGTTATATCATAAATCTGTAAATGCTTCTGAAGTCTGTAGGCTTCTTGACAGCATTAATTTTGGTTAAAAGTAAGAAATATTTCTCCATGTTTGATTGCTTCTCAGACTCCAGGTCTGATATGCTCTTCAAAAATCTGTCTCAGTCTGCCTTCTTGTAATATTCAATAGAGCTTAAAAATAAAAAATTTATGCGTGTGTATAGATTACTTACATAGATTAAATACTTTACAAAGAAACATGAGCTATTTCAATGTTTATAGTATTTTGTTTAAAAAAAGGCAACAGCTGTATTCAACTACCTTGATTCTAACTTATGAAAATATATTAAACTTTAAATATTAAAAATACAAACTTTGATTAATTTTTCATTATATAATGCATACAAGTATGCCATGGAAAATAGTCCCATGAAGCAGACCTCCCATGTAAATCACTCAGGGAAAAACTGATTTCCAGTTTCATAAAAGTTTAAATCTAAGGACCTAAACTAAGAAGTCATAGAAAAGTTGTTAAATCACAAACTGCTTAATAAAGTTTACTAATACTATGTTAGATGGCTGATGCAGAACAGACTCATATTCATGCCCTTGTACTCAGCTTGATCATGACAGAAGTTTGTGCCATCTCAGAGAGTCACGGGATAAGGCATCAAACTTTTTTATGGATATGGTTCTAATATGGAACCATGATGCAGTTATCCTTTGTTAGGAATTCAGATTAGCAATCTAGAGTTTAAACTAATTGAAGGTGACTGACCCAGGAGATGTTGAGGAGAAGCAGATCATAGAAACATAAAGCCATAGAATGGTTTTGGTTGGAAGGGACCTTTGAAGATCAAAGCAGAGAGAATCTCCTGTTACTTCTGGCCAGCAGTGAGAAGTCAATGTTGCCTGAGTTATTTTCAGACTTGGGGATAAAAAATGAAGTTTCAGTGACTGTGCTTGAATATGCTCATGTATCATGGATTTAAATTTTAAGACACCAGCTGGATTTAGTTTCTTCAGAACTCTAAGATACAACTGAAGTTCCTCACAAACACAAGCTGACTTCTTTTAAATTAAGGTTTTAATGAAGTAATAGCAAAGAAAGGAAGAACTGAAGCAATCTGAGTAAATGAAATCCATCAGACAGCTATATCAAGGCTGTGAAGTCATTTCATTCCTTTAGCATGATTGGCAGTCAGCGTCTAGACTCACTGTCTGAGGCATACCTAGTAAGGGTCCTCCTGGGGCACAATCCTCCACTCATCCAGATGGGCGGCTGTTGAGGACACATGGAGGCAACACAGCATCTGCTGGGAGTGCGTGCACACGCGTGTGCAGACACACACAGACAACCCCCTACATTTCCAGAAGATGCAGTGGGTGAGCACACGCAGGCCTGGGAACAGGGATGAGTGTCTGAGTTTTGCATTTTGGATTAAGCCCACATTATTTTATATGTGTCCAGGGAATGTACAGAATAGAGGAGGTAGCATGGATGTAAAGTAAACTGGGACCACCAGTTGATTCATTTTCTTTAGCCTTAATATTCACCTGTTTGATGTTGGCTGATAGTGTAAAATTCAGGCTGGTGTCATCAGGAAGGGTGAGCCAATGTTGAGGAACAAAACCCAGTAAGTATCAGCTCTGATCCTGTGGTGTGCCCAGTGCCTCCAGATGAAGCAGCTCTAGGTAACGGTCAAAAGAAGCAATATAATCAATAGCTTGTTGCTAAGCTTGGGCTTTTTCTTTCCTTCTCGTGATTTTTAATTAGTGCTCCTATCCCTGTTACTTATCATGGAAATGATACCAAAATTCCAAAGAAACAAAGCCTTATCACTTTGGAAAGTAAAAATCATTAATCCTGCACAGCTGACATGATGAGGTGATTACTCAGCTAGTACAGTACCTTCCTGCCATCTTGTGGCACTGTAGAGTTTGCAGCTTTCTGTTATATTGCATAACTTTTATTTCAAACAAAGTTATTAGTTTTTAAGTTTCAGATGCCATCTAGTTAAACAACACACACATACACAGAGTGAAGCCTTTATCTGATTAATAGCGGTGTCAAAATTTGTGTTGATTAAAAAACTTCCAGACATCACTAATTCTATTAATTTCAATATCTTCTTATGGCAAAAATGAAAATAAATTCAACCTAAAAACAGGTTTCAGTTTTAAAGAATAGATTACTGCTATACTGAAATAATCTGAAGTTATATCTGAAATGATACTTTCCATTTCTATTATGAATTCATCTGTATTTTTCCTTTGGGATACTGTATTGTTTTTAAATAGCTAACTCCTTTTTCAAGTCTGCATGAAGAAAAAAGAAGCTGCATCTTTTATATGACTTCAGGCGAGATCCTTCAAGTGCATGTTCAAAGTTTAGGTATTTTTCAAAAATAAAGGAACATACGAGAATGTGCTACTGTCGGATTTTGTGCTCCTGCTTTCAGGCTGGAATCACCGACTCGATCTTTGAGCATGGATGCACCACGAGGAATTAATATCAAAGCGCAAGCTGGGAATATTGAAGCTATTTCCCAAATGGATATCAAACTACACAGCAGTGATGGTGTGGTGAGTACAAGTCCTTCTGTTTTCATAACTATGCTTGATCTTGCTGTCTGAATATAACTAATAACTTCAAGTCTTTTTTCAAATTCTGTTAATTTACTTCCTCAAATTTTAGGAGACAGGATAAAAAAATTAATGGTGCCAATAATAAGACTTTTATTTTGGGGTCAAATTAAATAATACTACTAATTGACATAATTTTATATTAGCTTAGAGAAATGCTGTCTAATAAAACTCTGATAGCGCTCAGCTCCCCACTAGCACAGTGATCCCCAGGCACCCCAGGGGGGTCCTGGGCCCAGAGGTAGACGTTCCACCCCAGAGGTGCTAAATCAAGGAGTGAAGCTCTGCATACATCGTTAAGAGCGGCCCCATCAGCAACAGCATGTGACATGCAGCAGCCTATTTATCCCCTCTGCGAGGCTGTGAGGTGCCAGTGCTTCCACAGAGGAACTCCAGACCAACTTTTGTGTCCATCCCTGACCAGCTAGCATGGCTGAGAGGCTTCAGCACTCAGGCCAGGCCAGACCTGGGTCCAGTGGCAGCAGCAGCGCCCATGCCCTGCTATTCAGGGTACAGACAGGGGCCTCATCTCTTATTAGAGAATCATAGAATGGTTTGGGTTGGAGGGGACCTTAAAGATCATGGAGTTCCAACCCCCCCCTGCCATGGGCAGGGACACGGAATCACGGAATTGTCGGAGTTGAAGGGACCTCTAGAGATCATCTAGTCCAACTCGCCTGCTAAAGCAGGATTGCCCAGAGCACATTACTCAGGACTGCATGCAGGCAGGTCTTGAAAGTCTCCAGAGAAGGGGACTCCACGACCTCCCTGGGTAGCCTGTTCCAGTGCGCTGTCACCCTCACCGTAAAGTTTTTCCTTGTATTTGAGTGGAATTTCCTGTGTAGACAAGGTTGCTCAGAGCCCCATCCAGCCTGGCCTTGAACACCTCCAGGGATGGGGCATCCACGACCTCCCTGGGCAACCTGTTCTGGTGTCTCATCACCCTCACACTAAAGAACGTCTTCCTAGCATCTAATCTAAATCTCCTCTCTTTCAGATTTAAAGCACCTTACCTCTCATGCTATCACTACACTCCCTGATAAAGAGTCCCTCCCCATTTTTCTTTTAGGCCTCCTTTAGGTCAGGGAAGACACAATAAGGTCTCCCCAGAGCCTTCTCTTTTCCAGGCTGAACAGCCACAACTCCCTCAGCCTGTCTTCACGGGGAGATGAGCCATAGAGAGGGGGATGTGCCTCTTCATAGGGGAGGGAGCCCTCTGATCACCTTCATGGCCCTCCTCTGGACCCACTCAAACAAGTCCATGTCCTTCTTATGTTGGGGGCCCGAGACCTGGACACAGTATTCCAGGTGGGTTTTCACAAGAGCAGAGTAGAGGGGGAGAATCACCTCCCGCAGCCTGCTGGCCACGGTTCTTTTGATGCAGAGCAGGATGCAGTTGGCTCTGTGGGCTGCCAGCGCCCATTGCTGGGTCATATTCAGTTTTTCATCCGCGAGTACCCCCGTGTCCTTCTCATCAGGGCTGCTAAAAATCCACTCATTGGCCAGCCTGTATGCATGTTTGGGATTGCCCCAACCCAGGTGCAGGACCTTGCACCTGGCCTTGTTGAACTTCCTGCTAAGGAAGAGGATGGGCACCAGCTTATCGCTCTCCCATGTTTCAGTGTCGGCCAAGAGCCTGGACCTCAGAGCAGCTTTGTATACAGCAAGTCTGGGTAGAAGGCTATTCTTAAACCACTGCCTAGATAAAGTCGAGTTGGTTTATGGCAAGCTATGGCAGTATTGTTTCTAATGAGCCCACTTGTCCTGCTTTCTCCCATGCAGCTTTTGCTCGATGCTGAAACTGTTCGACTGCCCAAATTGCCTGAGGGTACAAGGGGTGGATCTGGTATTTCTCAGGGGCTTTATGAAATCTGCGTGTGTCCGGACGGAAAGCTCTACTTGTCAGTGGCCGGCGTGGGCTCCACTTGCCAAGAGTACAGCCGTGTCTGCCAGTGAGGCACCAGGAAAGGACACACACCCCCTTGCTAGTCTGAGTTTTATATTATTGCCAAACAGCATTACTGAAAGCAGAATTTTCAGAATTTTAAAAACAAAGCACTTGAGTTTAGGAAACAAATCTGTATCTACAATTCTGGACTACAGGGTGAAAGCGGAAGAAGAGCACAAATGACATTTCAACTTCAGAAGAATAACTTGAATCAAATTATTTGTTCTTTCAGTAACACTTTGAAAACAGCCTTACAGAGAGGATAAAAGTAAAATAAAAGGAATATGTTCCCTTGCTGAACTATTATTAAGTCAGATGGTTATGTCATTGTTAATATTTTTGAGCTCCGTGTTTTTTTCTCTCACTACATGTAAACTCTTACTGCATTAGTGGGTGAAATTAAATTGAGGGAACTACTTGAACTGTATGGTAAGACAAAGCATTATTTGCGGAATTCAGAAAGTGCCAGCAAATGGTCTATGCAATTTTGTTCTTGCAATAACACAAGATATGAAAAATGTGGTATTTGTATAAGTTCTGCGTAAAAGGTGTTAATTTGCTAATAGCTTTCTATTTTAATTTGGCAAAATATATGCTGATTTGCCTATTACTGAGATTCATATAAAAATAACTAATACAAAAATCTGCAGGAGTCATTTACACCTCCCTGTGTCTCAAATCTGTTCACTATACAATAGAGAAATATGTTAGTATATTTTATAACAGCAATAGTTTGTTGTACTGCCTGTACCATCGTACTCATTTAAACTCTTTTATATTTTACAACATGCTAATTCAACAAGGCAATTTGCTCTGCCAGCTGGACTAGTAAAATGAAAAAAAAAAAAAAAATCCTTACTGTGGCTCCAGATTGTCTGACACAAGGAACTGTTTGGGCGGTGGGGAAAAAAAAAAAAAAATCCTTTTTTGCAGCCCACAGGATTCAATTAAGAGGACTATTTCATTTCCATCTGCAGCCGTTGACTGATATTTCTGATCCTGTGAGAGTGGGGCTCCATCACAAACAGAGAGTGTAAAACTACTCCTTATTGTTTTTTACATTAAGACTTTGGGTATGGAGTAAATGCTCACCAGAGTTGACAAACCATTTATTGACCTTGTAGAGAAACACAGCTGCAGACCCATTCCCCTGTACAGTGTTGCACTGAACACAAATAAATCGTTTGCACACCTCTGGGTAGCAGGATTTGTATTTGATAGTCTGTTGTTTAAACCACATGGGTTTTTAACTCCTTCAATGCTGTTTTGTATATACTTGTTGATATATTACCCAGGTAGGAGCTGCTATCACATAGTGCCTTGGTGTCTATTTACAGAAAGACTTTTACCCATAATCATTATTAAACCACAGAATGTCCATCCTTTAGAGAAAAGAATCATCATCCTTAAGGCAGCAGACTCAAAAAAAAAGAATGACGAAGACTTGGCTGGTTTTTTCTAAGCTTGCTACTTCAGCTCTGGTGGACAAAAAGAAATCCAACACTCAGTTATGGTCCCAGATGCTCACAAAGGACTGAGTTGAGAAAGAGCCCCCAGTTAACAGTACCCACTGCTATTGTAGGCTTTGTCCCTGCCTCAAGGGCTGCCTTTGTAATTTATCCAACAAGTCTAACGTACAATACTGAAGTTGCCCTTCATTAGCAGGGTGGAGGCCTCAGCAATTAATGCAAACTAGAAAACATACTTAAGCTGACCTTTTGGGTGTCCCTTCAGGCAAAGGAGGCAAGTGAATCAAGGTCTCCCATGTTATTTGGAGAGCGCTCTGATTACTGGCATACTGCCTATGGGAGAAGTAGGGAGCCACACAGCTTCCCTTTTTCAGAAGAAATTCCCTTTTCCGTCTACCTTCAGGGGTGAGTACAGGCCTGTTGGCCCTAGAGAGGGGAATGTATCTCCCTACTCTACAGCTATATCTCTCAACTGTATCTCTCAGCCAAGAGAGGCTTAAACAGCAACCTGCCTTCAGCATTCCTTTAAAGTCAGTTTAGGGTGGTTCCAGCCCCATGTGCAAGTTTTTACAATCCAAATTATGAGCAGTCTTGTCTTATTCATTGGACAGAAAGTCTGTGCATTAAAATAAAGGACAACAAATGCTATTGCGTGTGCCAGACACCTAAAAGTAACCTGGAAGGCTGTCGTGTGTACAGTCTTTTATAGTACAACAGCAAAACTGGGACTTCAGTCCTTAGAGAATTCAGCCACTGTCTGGTTTCAAAGGCATTTGACCCATCCTCATGCCTATGTTTCTGACATCACGGAACATATGCCCGCTTCCATGTGGTACCAAACTACTCATTCACCAAATCTAATCCCTAGATGTTGGCCAGATACTGTAAATAAGTTCATTAGTTAAAATCTGCATATTCTGCCAGCAATGGAAACATAGCATTCAAAGCTATGTTTTAAGCTTTTATTTTGGAGGCACATTTTCAAAAGTGATTTGCCAGTTAATACAAAGCAAGTGACTGAATCCAGGCTTTCCCTGTATCACAAGAGTAACTGGGAATTTGGAAGCCACTTCTGTTGCAACTTCTTGCATTGAAGTTGCTCTGTTTTAGTTAATGTTTTTGCAAAGCTGTGATAACACCTAGGAAACCCAGGGCATGTTTGCCTGGCAAGTAACACTACTGAGCATCATGGCACCTTGGTTAGATACTGCAATAACAGCTGCCGCTCTTGTGGAGATAAAGCTTTTGGACTTGCCTCAGTTCCCAGCTGGATTCTGAGTAGTACTGAAAACTAGATGGGTCTGCTTTGTCCTCATCTCTGCCATCATCCAAATCACCAGCTTGCCCCTCTTCATCACTTAAATGTCATTCTTCATGACGCTACAAAATTGACATTGAATATGTAGTTGCATTATGTAAGTTGTGCAGGTTTTCTAAAGCATGGGTGGCAACATCTTGTCACTGAAGAACATTCTGGAGACTTTGTCTTTTAGTGGTGGTCAGTGGAGAAACAAAGTTTATGCTAAAATTATCACAGTGTAATCAGCTGATGCTATAATCCGAATTGTTGTTAATCTCAATATAGCTCATACGTCACTACATTATCATTTTTGATATTTCCACGTGGGTGTCTTTCCATCTCTCTTTAATACTTAAAAATTATTGTTTCTACTTGATCAAACTTCAGTTATCTACTTACAGATTAACAGGAAATTATGGCACAGGATAGTACGCACATCTAGTTTATTTCCAAAAGTGTTATCCAAATGGAGAAAGAAGCCACCACTACCCAGCAAAGTAAACTGTATGGTTTGCATATTTTTTCCCCTCAAAAATAAGTATTTACAGCAGTTCTTGTAACCGGTTGGGATAGTTACACAGTGGAAAAGTAAAAATATCAAAATGGTAGTAAAACTATATTGGTGATTGCCCAAACACAAACCTCTCTGTTGCCATTTCACACTCCTTTAGTATTGACATTTGTCTGTCTTTATATAGCTTTATGCAAAAGGAAATTGCAAGAATTAACTGAAAACTGAGTTCTTGAATAAACTTTATACATTTTGAAAAGTCTGCTTCTCCTTTTGTGTTCAAATGAAACACAGCTTAAATGAATGTTTTCCTTTTTAAAACAAAATTATCTTCCCAAGACTCTAAGAACGTGAAATGTACATTATTTAAAAATATGAATGAAAATCTTGGCCGTAACTAAAAATGTACTTTCCGGAATTTAGAAAATACTTTACAATTAGATTTCATTAGACATCTAGAATTCATCTTCATCTGTATTAGGTGAAAGTAAATTAAAAAAGATACCAGTGCTACTGAATTAATCATCCAGAAAGCAAATGCAAGAAAAGATGAAGAGTTTTGATGAAAAGCTCATTGACAAACACCTTCATGTGACAGAAATGTGTGTTTTCAAATGAAAACATCTACTTTGGCTGCCAAGTTTAATTATTTTTGAACGACTGCTTCTGCCCATGTTCCACAATACCAATCCAGCCATCCTCAAGGTGGTCAGATCCAGCAACAGGAAATCTCAAAGCTGGTACTACTCTCCTTTACTTTAATTGGAGCAATTACAATAGATTTTATGAAAGCCTCGTTTAAACAACCCAAGCACCAAATGAATGCAATCCTCTTAGTAATACATCTCAAACCTACAGTGATTTTCCAATCACCACAGTAACTTTATGATTATTTGAGTACAAATATTGCAAAACTGCATTTCTTTATACTGCATACCACTTCTTTTTCTTTTGGTAATTGGCTACACAAAAATCTATTTCCTTAAAAAAAAACAGCCAAACAAAAAAAGGCCTTTTTCTTGCAAGTGCCCATTTCTTTTTAGAAGAGGTGCTGGTGCCATTGTTTTAGAGTAAAACTTTTAAAGCTTCCACAAGAAGGTAAATAGTAACAAACCTGCCAAGACTTCTTAGAACCACAGTCGCTTAGATTTAAGGTACTAAATGTACACCTAAATCAGTTTCCTGTACCCCCATCTTGGCTAAGCCTCACGCCTGGCAGGAAGGACAGAAGCTGCTTTTCCTAGACACATTCCTGGTACCCGTGGAAGATAACCAGGACAGGCACCTGGCTGAAAAGACCATTTGACTCATGTGAACTTGTGTAACATGCAGAATTACTTATAAAATGTATTTTTGTGGAACCCCCATGGTAACATTTACTTCTACAGACCCTTACTATGGAATCATCATGTACTTGCTGATCTGAGCTTCCACGCCCAACTTAGGAACAAGTATCTTATTCTCCATTTCCCCAGGCCCTCAGCTGAGCCAAAAGGAAGCATGAATTAAGCTCTATTTACTTTTTTATAAACAGGAATTAAATGGCACTTATGAAACCAGTTTCTATCACAATATGGTTTCCTGGTCTCATAAGGCCTCTTTATTTAGGCTGTTACGGTGAGTTAAGCCAATAAAAAATAGAAAATAAGAGACTTCCAGTCAAGACGCCACTCTTGCCTGTCTCTCTGCATTGATACATAAGTTTTATTGCAACTGATTGATGGTATCAACCCAGGAATAACAGAATAAGTGGATTTTCCTGTGTCATTCAGGTTTTCTTGTTCAGACCACTAGCTTCCTAAGACCTGGCACCATTTTCTTTCTTAGAGTCAGCAATATATACAAAATATACAAAATAAAAACAAAACAGCATAGCAGTTCTGCACAGCCATTTTAATGATTCATAGTAATATCAGTAAAGCAACATTAGTTGCTTACAAAACAGTATGTGCTTCAATGATTTCCTTCAAGAAAAAAGAAGTGTTCATATTGCTGCTTTGTTACTTGTTTTCATGCTACTCTGTTTACCTGATGTTTTAGCTCCATTTAAACAGAAAAAGACAATGAGAACTGTTTCCTTTTGTTAGTATTTTGCTTACCCTGAATACTATTCATCTGACTGTGTGCACAAAGTACGTAAAAGCTACAAAGGAATTTGTTTTAAAAACATAGGGAATTAACTAAACTGATTTATTTCATGGCACAGCAGGATTTGTGTTTTGTTTACATGCTATTTATTGCAAGATTCAGCAAAATGTACAAGTTATTTGAGAAAACTGCAAACATTTGTCATTGAAAGAAAAAAACATTTTTCCTTTTTCATAGTATTCCCATATTGATGCAATTATTTATAACTAATTGAAAAGAGGCTGTGTATTTACCTATATAAAAGAAAGCATGAAGTAATAGGTAATTTAGACTACTTTATGAAACCAAAACACATCAGACTGAAGCACATGTTTGCATTTTTCTTTATTAAAATTATGGCACTTAATATTTAATAGCAGAAATAATAATAGGGCTTCACAATCAGAAGCAGTATCATTTCCCAAACACCACATTTCTTCCCACTACAGTTTGCAAGGTTTTTCAGAAGAGAACAAGCCCTTTATAATTTGCACAAAACTGGAGAAGCCTTCACCATGATTTTTTATTTTTGGATTGCAACACTATCGCAGCTGTATCAGCCCTGCAAGCTGACTGTTGTTTATTATCCTTTGTATTCTGTAAGTTAAATTACAGGTTCACTGTGCTGTCAAGTAAACAATTGTAGTAACATAACATTTAAGTTAAATGTGACTGATCCAGCAAAGAAAAATCCTTCCATTCAGCATTATCCTTCCATATTTTTTTTATTTTTTTAAGTTTTTTTTACAAATAGCTAACGTTGAACGGATTGCATGACATTACCAAAAGTATTACAAACTATAAAAGAAAGAGTGTGAGCTAGAAATCAGGCTTCTCTAGGGCTGTAGTGAACAACAAAATAAAGAGCATTACATTGCAGCACCTTTAAACATGTAACAAAACCCAGTGTTCAGTGTACACCAAAAATGGGTTACTGAATTGTACTATTATCGATGTTTGTTTGTGGAAAAATATATATATATGTACACACACAAAGGCACACACGCAGGAAAAAAAAAAAGAAAAAAGAAACTCAAACATTTAGACATCTGAAAACTGAATTTTGGTGTTAAAAAAAAAATATCATAAAACACCGTATAATAATGTTCACCGATTGTATATCATCCACATGCATTTATCATTAAACAAAAGATAACAGGCTCTAGAAAAAAAAAGTAAATTAAATACTTAATTATTTTATAATAAAGGAAATGCAATCAATGCATGACATGAAGTTGCGTGTTAAATCAAGTATCATCATTCAGCATTCAAATAATTGTACCAATTCACAGGTACTAAACAATCCTTTAAACGTTCACAATGTGATGCTGCAGCAAATTTATAATCAGATCCAGCTGATAAGAGTATTACTATGAGTGACACAAATGTCCACAGAACACAAAAGAATACAGAAATGCCTTGGAGCAATACCTCCAAAGTTATTTTAATTTCCATCCCAACTCCCATTTCATAGTATGTCCAGTCTTAAGATTAGTACATTGAAAGCTGACATTACCATTTTGGAAACATTATATTAAATGAAATAAAAATCTAATAAGGAGTTATAATTATAGGCTTCATCTAACAGAAAGCTAAGCTTTGGTTATATAAAGTGCAGTTCAATAATATGCCAATTAATTACAATATTGTACATACAGCTAACTTTTGCAGCTCAGTTTTCTTGCAAATTTTAAAAAATATTCACGTTTTACAGTTTGCTTATACAGCAGGCTCAGTAAAAAAAAAAATCCCATTTAAATAAATTTCAATTCTAAGTACTTCAGTACCACCCACGTCCAGTGGTCTGCACAGTCACATTTGCATCCCATCACATGAAATACCTAAGCTCTGGACAAAACAGTTCGCTGACCTCTTCAAATCCCTTAGACCTTCTGTTGTATAAAGTTCTCAAGTTTTATTATGATACAAGCAGTACATTCCATCACTCTCATAGCAACTTCTGAAGTAAATCTATCATTGGGAATCTGTGGGAAAGGCAGTAAGTCAGGATACCTAGTTTTTAAGCTATCTACTCCGTAAGCTTCCAACGTCTGAACATCATTTGTAAGCCCTTCAAGTTGCTGACTGTATTCCTCTATTTTTTGTGCAAGGGCTGCTGGTTTTACGTCTTTGTCCGATTTGCCCTTCACAGCATAGTCAGCTGCAATCAAGGCGAGTTTAGTAGAAAGGTAGCACTTAAAGCATACCCATTCATTGGCATTTTTATGAAGGTCATTTCTTGCAGCTGAGAAGTTAGCTCGGGCCTGCCTAAGCCACCGACGTGCCTCTACAGGATTGCCAACGGACCTGAAGGTAGGTGGGACAAAAAAGCGCTGCGAGTAAGATGGCGCCGTGGAAGATGGACACTTTTCTTTATACTGCTGCCTTTCAGATTTGTGGCTTGTTGCTTCTTGATTCCATGAAGTATAAAATCTTTGAAATGAAAATTTATCCGACTGAAATCGAGAAGCAGAGGATGAAAATGGTCTTCTCGAGGCTCTGTCCATATTTTGATCCATGAAGGCCTGTTTCTCTAGCCTGTTAATCTCATTCTGTAAATGTTTGAAAACTTCATTAGCTATATCAAGATTCTCTGCATTTTTATCTGGATGCCATTTAAGATACAGCCTCCTAATAATCTTTTTTCTTTCAGATTCTGGAAGCTTCCAAGCCTGTTCAATCACAGATGTAACTTCTCTTAATATCTCTGGCAATGAGTTTGACTTTATCTTTTTTGGAGAATGATGTTTTGAGGACATTGTTTTGTGGCTCTCTCTACCAGCGAAGAGAGGTGGAATGGCCCTAGGTCCGTGTGCTGGAAATTCTGTAGGACTGGTTGGGGTAGAAGGTGTGCTATCCCTGCTTTGAGAACTTTCCTCCGGTCTTGAAAATTTGTACAAGTCAAGAGAGCTCACTATTTTATACTCACTGTATCCAATATCGATCTGGTAAATCTTCCCTAGAAAACTGGGATTTTCATCATCTTCTCTTTCCACTTCTTGTACAATGATTGCATAGGTGTAAGTTGGTTGATATGATCCGTATATATCACCACCTTCAGCATCAACCAGGTAACCAACATATTCACCAGGGTAAAATACATTCATTGGATCCATAAGAAGTGTATAGTGA